AAGACGAATCCAATGATGCCCAGTTTTACCTTCTCAGGTCAGTCATTGACCTTCCAGGTCAGGTCAAACTAAAAAAATGTTACTGTTTTGGGTCACCGTTGGATATCGAGTGCGCTGCTGATCATATACCGATGACGATGCCGTATTGTGGTGCCAAGCCAGCTAGAACCTCTATGTCACACTATCCGACCAGGTTTTTGCTGGTGAGGTCATCTCAGGTCAAGTTAGGTCAATGTCAATGATATGTGTTTGTATGTCTGTGTGTGTCTGTGTGTATACTGATGTGTGCACCGATTGTTTATGTGTCCATATTACATGAGATCATGAAATGAGAAACTTTTACTAAAAATGCAGTCAAAGAAACTTCACAAAAAGTAAATTCCGCTTCCTAAAACGCAATGTTTCCAGATGACCTAGGTTGACCTTGACCCTAACCTTGACATCTGTATATCGTCGAACAACATGTTCACTGATAGGGGAGGTAAGACTGGAAAAAAGGCCGAAATCAAGGTGTCAAAAGCTCACAAGACCCATCGCCAACGCAAGATATTGGGTATTTGTCATTTGGGTCATGACATGACCTGATGAACAAGGTCATATCTCCGAAACCCAAAATCACAGAGACTTGACATTTTTAGTGGACATCGAGAAAGGATAGAGGGGCAGCTATACGAAAAATCAGGCATCTAGCTCCAAAAATGTTGAGTGCAGAGCAGAAAAAACTACCTGGGGTGGCAACCATCCCCCCCCCCCCCATGTGCGGGCGAGGGTTAATGATCTGAGAGGCCCTTCTATCTGTACCTACTTGCCAAAGGAGGCCCCTGAGACTGATGGTGGCCAGAAGAGGCCTTCGAGACTGATGGTCTGAGAGGACCTTCTATTCAAACTATGCAGAGGAGGTCCCTGAGAATAAAAGTCCTAAGAGCCCTGCGGCGGCAACTGGCCGTTAAAAAAAAAATCTGGCCATATTTCGGCTCGGTAGGGCCCCACAGAGCTCGTGAGAGCACCTCGAGGGCTGCTAAGTAGGCACGCTTATCTCCATAAGGGTGCCACACCAGCTTCTGAAGGCTCCTTGTAGGCACCTAAGGGCCCCTTCAGGCCTCTAACGGCTCCACCCGCCTGTAATGGCTCCACACCAGTGTTTATGAGCGCCACACACCGGCGCCTTTGAAGGTCATACCTACCAGTGTCTCTTATAGGAAATAGTTCACTTTTCACATGTTTTTTTTTTTGTAACTGGAATAGCAGTTTTGTACTTTGTAGCTTGAGCTGAGACTAGCACAAAGATGATTGGCTCTTTGTGGCTTTTACGGCTCAACAATCACCCTAGACGAAGATATTCCATTTCTCATTCCAAAAAGAGTGCCTTTCAGAGGAATGCGCGCCTTGCAGAGGAATGCAGTCACCTCATCGTCAGCCAATCAGCATGGGTATGTTTGAACTACACAATATGATTGGTCAACGCGTTGTAAGGTTCCGCGATAAACATAATTTTATATAGAATATAGTTCTTCCTAGATTAAAATATGGAAAATAATCCTTCATACAAAAAGGTTTTATTTTATTTTCTGATAATTATGATCATGAAAATCATTAAGCTGTAGTAAAATACAAATTTCAGGAAAATGAACCATTTCCTTCAAGGCCCTATACCTATCTGTGGCTCTGAGGGCCCCACACCGGCGCCTCTGGGGCCCACACACGTGTGCATCTCAACTCTCAAGGCTCTATAGATGCATCTGAAGGACCCACACCGACACCTCTGAGGGCCCCACACCAGTATCTCTGAGCTCTAAATGCCCCACACCGGTGACTGAGGAGTGAGGACACACCGGCGCCAGAGAACACTAACGGCTGCACAAGGCCACTGAAGGCACCACACAAGCTCTCACTGAGCTCTAATATCCCATACCGGCCTCTGAGGGATACCGGCCTCTGAGGGTCTGAGAGGCCCGTCTATCCACAGTCCACACTAGTCAGAGGAGGTATCTGAGACTTCGGACTATTATTCTCAGGGGCCTCCCATGCCTAGTTTGAATAGAAGGGCCTCTCAGACCATCAGTCTCAAAGGCCATTTCTGGCCACCGTCAGTCTCAGGGGCCTCCTTTGGCAACTATAGATAGAAGGGCCTCTTAGGTCATCAATCCCAGGGGTTTTCTCTGGCTGGTATGAATAGAAGAACCTCGCAGATTATTAATTTCAGGGTCGTCTCTTGGTTAGTATGAATATGAGGGGCTCTCAGACCCTTAAGTTCATGGGCCTCCTCTGCCTTTTATGAATAGTAGGTCCTCTCAAACCACCAGTCTCAATTGCCTAGTCCTCTGGCCAGTGTGAATAGAAGGGTCTCTCAGACCATCAGTCTCATTGGCCTTCTTCCGGCCAGTATAAATATAAGGGCCTGTTAGACCATCAATCCCAGGGGCGCCTTAGGTTAGTATAAATAGAAGAGTCTCTCAGACCATTTATCTCAGGGGGCTCCTGTGCAGCTGTGGCTAGTATAAATAAAAGGGTCTCTCAGACCATCAGTCTCGGGGCCTCCCTAGGACAGTGTGGATAGAGGGGCCTCCTCAGATTCACTAGGACCTCTCTGACCATCAGTCTCAGAGGCCTCTTCTGAATATTGAGGATAGAGGGGCCTCTTCTGACTAGTGAGGGTAGGGGGATCCCAGACCACCAATGTCAGGGGCCAATTCTGACTAGTGTGGATGGAGGGGCCTCCCAGACCACCAGTCTCAGGGACCTCCTCTAACTAGTGTGGATAGACGCCAGACGGGCTTCTCAGACCGCCAGTGTCAGGGGCCTCCCCAGACCAGTGTGGATATTGGGGCCTCCTCAGCTCCACTAGCGCATCTCAGGGCATCAGTTCCAGGGGCCTCCGCTGACGAGTATGGATAGAGGGCCTCCTTGGATCAACAAGGGTCCCTTGTACTCTGTGCGTGGGGATTCGTGGAACTTATTTTTACCGAGTTTGTTTATTCTGGAAGGTGACCACGTCCTAGACGAGAGGGCCTCGAGTAAAAAGTGGGTGTGGGGGGGGGGGGGGCAAAACACATGGTTGGCCCCCAGGACTTCCTCTGAGATGCTAGGGGGGGGGGCATAGCCCCCCGCAGTGATGCCGCTGGCCCCCCAGTGAAGCTGAAAAGAAAAATAGGTCCTCTCGGCATCACTTATCATTCTGCTAGGGACTTGATGGTGGTGCGCCGCCCCGCATGAAAACTGCGCGGCTTGAATCAGGCATCAGTACACGTTCAGAAACTGAGCCCACCTGTGCAGCCTGGTTGAGTGGCTCTAACCAATCGCTAGCCAGGATGTTGCGCCGGTAATACTTATCACTGATAGTGGTTTTCTGTGGCGTCATGAACAGCTTGAATATTACACAGCAGCTGAACATGCTTCAGGTCTAGATTTTGGCCGGATGTTTGACGCCGGGCGACGCCGTTCGAGCTGCTGGCAGCCCACACATGGTCAATTTGACGGCTCAACGGATATCGCAGCTCGAACGGCTTCCCATCCGACCAGGCCACCTCATTCATCTCTTCCTTCGACCAGTGGAAACGCCCTGGCCTGAGTCCAAAGGTGGTGGACTGGTTGTTGTCCCGTCAATTTCATTGTCTTTTTCAGTTTGAAGGGCAGCAAAACCAAGCTAAAGGGCGGGTAATGGTGAATCATGATGTGGGACCTCTTATTATCTGCCTTGGTAAGAATTCGAGTCTGTTTGCGTTTCCCAGTCGCTATCTTGACAACTCTTCTCACCACTTGGCAAAGGGCGCCTTTTGCGATCGACGCCGGACTGAGTCTGCCACCAAGTCCCAGTCTGTTACGCCTCAGGCAGATGTGCTACTGGCTGCTGCTGATGTCCAGCTGCTGACAGACCAGCTCCTGGCTCATGCCACCATGCCACTAACACTTAGCCTTACTTCGAAACGAGAGACTGTACTCCCTTCTCTCCACTTCCTTGAACGAAAACTCTCAAATGAAACCGTTTGGCGACTCGACTCTTATTCAGAGCCAGAGTCATTTCGCAAGGTCAGGTCACTGCTGAGTTGAGAGCAGATACCAGAGATATGTCTCATGGAGCTGAGCTGGCGGCCGCCGCGCCGGTGCACGCGTACTTGCGCTCGTGACATCCGTGCTGGGGGCACTCGTATGTGAACCGTGGTGGCGTTGCCTCTGTGACCCGGGGGCTACCTGGCCGGCTCGAATACGCGGCGATGGCGGGCAGGGCGCCCGAGTTCGATGCGAACGTTGAGTGCTTCGGTGCTTATACGCGGCGGTTAAATCAGTACTTTGTGGCGCAAGATATCGGGAGTGATCAAGAAGCAAAGAAGCGGGCCGTGCTGCTTTGTGCGATCGGCGCAAAAACGTTCGGTCTGCTGGAAGATCTTATTGCTCCAGCCACTGTAAGGCAGAAAACATACGATCAGCTGGTCAGCGTTTTGCAAAGTCACTTCGAGCCGGATAAATCTGAAATAGTGGCCAGATTCCGGTTTCATTCGTGCTCCAGGAATGACGGTGAGACAGTTGCTAATTTTCTAGCGCGGCTTCGTAAGCTGGCTAAAGACTGTTCGTTCGCACCTAATGTCCTTAATGAAATGCTGCGTGACCGTTTGGTCTGTGGCATACGGAACGAGTTGCTGCAACCTTGCTTCTCAGTGAGCCGGGGCTGACGCTCCAGTCGGCGGAGCAGCTGGCCCAGGCACACGAGTCGGCGGCAGCGAGTGCGGCTGAGCTCAGCGGCGGTGCTGAGCAGCGAGCAGATGGAGCCTCCGTTCATCGGCTGACTGGTGCCCGGGGTCCGCTGCGGCTGCGTAGCAGCTCTAGGGGTGCCGGTGCTGCCCGCGCTCCTGCCGGCTACAGGGACGGCGGTGGCGGCGCAGCAGACTCCAGAGCTGGTGGTCGGCTGCGCTCTCAGCGTGACAGGACGACGCCCGGGCCAGGTGACAGCACGGCGGCGAGCTGTTTCAGGTGCCTGAGGTATCATCAGCCGGGCAAGAGCCCGTTCATCGATAAGGTGTGCTACAGCTGTGGCCTCAGGGGTCACGTCCGAGTACCTCCGCCATGTCTCGGCTGATGGCGACGCGTTACAAGGGTCGGACGCGCAGGAGGGTAGCAGAGAGGACGGCACTATGCAACCGAGGAGTTCTAGTCCCGGGACCGGTGAGGAGGTGTACAGCATTTTCACCGTCCGGACCGGCCTCGGTGTCAGGCGACCGCCGCTGATGGTGCCGGTAGCGCTCGACGGTCAGAAGGTCGAGATGGAGCTGGACACCGGGGCGACTCTGTCGGTCTGCTCTGACGCCGGGTTTCGGCAGCTCTGGCCCTGTGGAGGGCCGAAGCTGGAACCGTGTTCGGTGAAGCTGAAGACCTACAGCGGTGAGCAGCTGCCAGTCATGGGGCAGGCTGCAGTGAACGTTCAGTACGGCGGACAGGCTCAGCGACTACCTCTCATCGTAGTCGAAGGTGGCGGGCCCTGGCTGTTCGGCAGGAACTGGCTGGGACACATCAGGCTCGACTGGCCCTCCATCTGTTGAGTGACTGCGGAGACCCGTGTGCAGCCCATCCTGGACGAGTTCGCTGACGTTTCAAGGAGGAGTTGGGCTGCTATCGAGGCGGGGAAGTCGGCATCGACGTAGACCCGGACGTCCACCCTCGTTTCTTCAAGCCTCGCACCGTACCGCTGGCCTTCAGGGAAGCTGTGGACGCCGAGCTGGAGGACCAGATCCGTGGCGGACTCTGGGAACAGGTACGGCACAGCAAATGGGTGGTTCCCTTGGTGGTTGTCCCCAAGGCTGGGGGTCAGTCAATACGGGTGTGTGGGGACTACCGCTTGACCGTCAACAGGGCTGCTAAGGCAGAGCAGTATCCCTTGCCGCGTGTGGAGGAACTGTACTCAAAACTGTCGGGATGTACCATATTTTCAAAGATCGACTTGAAAAACGCGTATAATCAGCTTCCGCTAGATGAAAAGGCCCGCGAGTATCTCACGGTAAACACCCCGAGGGGTCTTCTTCGACCCCTTCGGTTGACCTTCGCCTATTCGAGTGCAGTGTCGCTGTTCCAGCGGACGCTGGAAACTGTCCTGGCTGGTATCTCTGGCGTTGGGGTCTTCTTGGACGACATTGTAGTCGCGGGTGTCGATGCCGCTGCGCATGACGAGGCCCTCCGGCAGGTTCTTAGACGGCTGGAGGAAGCGGGTTTTAGGCTCAACAAGGCCAAGTGTAGCTTCAGCGTCAGCAGCGTGACCTATCTGGGGCTTAAGATAAGCAGCCGTGGTGTGGAGACCACCGACGAGAAAACGGCCACGATTGTCCGTGCCCCGGAACCGCGGGATGCTAAGGAACTGCGTAAGTGGCTAGTAATCAACTACTATGGGAAATTCCTTGAGAACCTGGCGAGTGTCTTGGCTCCGCTCTATCGTCTTCTAAAGGCAGATCAGCCCTGGCAGTGGGCTGAGGCAGAGAAGTCTGCTTTTCGGAAAGCCAAAGAGATGCTAGTTAGCCCTCCTGTACTAGCCCATTTTGATCCCGCCCTTCCGGTGGTTCTCGCCTGTGACGCGGGACCGGTCGGCATTGGCTGTGTGTTGAGTCAGCGGACGTCACAGGGCGAGCGACCTGTGGCCTACTATTCGCGCACGTTGAATGACACCGAAACTAGATACTCACAGACTGATAGAGAGGCATTAGCTGTAGTGACCGGCGTTAAGAAATTTCACTATTACCTAGCGGGGCGAACTTTCACTATACAGTCAGATCATAAGCCTCTCATAAGCCTCATAGGAGAGCAGAAACCTTTGCCCGTGATGGCGTCACCTAGGATGGTCCGCTGGGCTCTGATGCTTGGGGCCTACGATTACCACCTTGAGTACCGGCAAGGATCTAAGCAAGGCCACTGTGACGCGCTTAGCAGGCTGCCTTCGTGCGAGAAGGCTTGTTCGAGCGTTCCAATTCCGGCTGAGACTGTCCATTTACTTGAGTTCATCGACTCATCCCCAGTGAATGTGTCCCAGATACAGCGGTGGACCGCTCTGGATCCCGTGTTGTCAGCGGTACATCGATATGTCAGAGATGGCTGGCCGGATGTCAATAGTGCTTCCCTCAGCCCTGATTTTCAGCCGTACAGGTCCCGTATAGGTGAACTGAGTGTGCAGGATGGCTGTGTTTTGTGGGGATCACGAGTCCCGCCGCAGGGACGGGGTGCCATGTTAAAGTTATTACATGAAGGTCATGCTGGCGAGTGTAGAACCAAAATGTTGGCTAAAATGTATGTTTGGTGGCCAAAAATCGATGACGACATTCGTGATATCGTGAAGTGTTGTGTGAAGTGTCAGGAACTGAAGGGCAGGGCCCCTGACGCTCCACTGCATCCTTGGCAGTGGCCGACTCGACCCGGCAGCGAGTCCATGTAGACTATTGCTCGGCTAACGGATAGATGTTTCTGGTGATAGTCGACGCCCACTCCAAATGGATGGACGTCTACCCAACTCGTTCCTCCGACTCACTGATCACGATTGAAAAATTACGAGCGTCGTTTGCGTGCTGGGGAGTGCCAACAGTGCTAGTGACAGACTACGCCCAGTGTTTTGTATCACAGCAATTCAAAACGTTTTGCAGTGTAAATGGGATCAGGCACTTAACGACACCAGCCTATCACCCAAATCAAACGGCTTAGCCGAAAGAAGCGTGCAAAGCTTCAAAAACGGGCTGTACAAACAGATCTCGGGGTCCATTGAGACCAAGGTCTCTCGATTTCTGTTTAGGTACCGCACAACACCGCATACTACGACCTCATGTACGCCCGCCGAATTATTTCTGGGTCGTGTGCCACGCACTCATTTAGATGGTGTGCTACCAGATAGGCAGGAGCGTATACGGAGACAGCAGGAGGCTCAAAAGACGTACCGTGATCGAAATGCCCTTGAACGATGTCTGAACCCGGGTGACCCTGTGTATGTGCCTGCTGTCGATAGATTGCAGGGATTGGAGCGTTGTCGGTGGGCGCCCGGTCGTGTAGTGTTCGTAGAGGGTTAACCCGCGCACCGACGGGGGTCTGCGCCAACTTAGTACCGACGGGGGGGGCGGATGACCGCCCCCCCCCCTGAGATCTCGAGAACGAAGCAAGATAGCGACAAGCGGTAAACGGCATCGGATACGCACGGTCAAGATCTACAATTTTTACTAAGGTCATTTTCAGGTCAGGTCAAAGATGACGTCACAGGGGTCGAAAAAGTCAAAATGGCGGCGCTAAATATGGAGAGAGTTTTTCTCGAATAACTTTCGAATTAGTCAAGATAGGAACAAACTAAGGGCATCATCGTGATCCTCTCGTCAATCCGCATCGAATGATATATATGTTGACCTCGAAAGGTCAAGGTCAAAGGTTGACCTCAGGTCACGTGACCTCGAGGTCATCATGTATATCATTCGATGCGTCTTGACGAGCTGAACACAATGAGACCATCCACGCGGCTGTATCTTGTTCCTGTACGGAGTTATTGGCCAAAAACCTTTGGTGACCTTTGATGACGTCACATGACCTCACAGCTTCCCAACAGCAAAACAGACCTCAAGGTAGTGAAGGTTGATCGTATATGAAGTCATGTATGGTATATGGGGCCATTCCGACCCGTTTTAGTGGTAAAAACAGGGAGTTGATTTTTCCCCTATTGACTTATAATGGGGAGGTCGCGAAATTGACCTGACCTTAGGTCACCGATATCAAAATTCCGAGATATACAAATTGTAGCTACTAATGACCTAATAACATCCTGCGACTTTCAAAGGCCTCCGACATCTACTGTAGCTCTGGCACGGTGACAAAGTTGCAAAAAAGTGACTTGAGGTTGGGTCATTCAAAGTGACCTGGTGACCTGACCTTGAAAGGTAGGAGGTTCAAACTTGCACACCATGTGTAAAATTGATAAGGGAATAGTCATACCAAATTTCGCGGCGCTACGCGCCGCGGTTTTCCCGCTATTCGCGAAAAACCTCAGGGGGGGGGCGGATATCCGCCCCCCCCGTCGGTGCGCGGGTTAAGGTCACTGTGGAGCTAAATGACGGAAGGGTGATTGTGCGGCACGCCGACCAGGTTCGTGAGCGATATTCAGCTGTTCCGCATGTCGCTAACGATCCTCTCCGTTCCAGAGTGACACCGATACCTGCTCCTGATCCGGTCACGGAGAGCGCCGCTGCATCTGCACGGCATGCTCCCGTTCCCGGACAACTGGCCTCCACTCCCGACCGGCTGCCGGCTCCTGATCGAGCGCCTGCTCCTGGCCGGCCGCCTGTTCCGGCGCCGCCCGGGCTGACCGGAGCGGTGCCCGCGCCGGGTGTGACCACCGTCCCGCCGTCCGCACCCTCTCCCAGCGCGCCGCGGTACCGGCTGAGAGACCGGTCCACCCTGCGGCCCCCAGACCGATACGTGGCGAGCTATGAGTAGGCGTTTTGTTTCAGTTGTTATTTGTTCTGTGAGGTGCATATTTATTTGTTTGTCCATGCTGTGCAAGTATTCGGGGTGGAGGAGTGTCATGGAGCTGAGCTGGCGGCCGCCGCGCCGGTGCACGCGTACTTGCGCTCGTGACATGCGCTCATGACACTCGTATGTGAACCGTGGTGGCGTTGCCTCTGTGACCCGGGGGCTACCTGGCCGGCTCGAATACAGTTTGGACCGAGACACCGTCTGTGATAATATGCATTCATCCAATTTTCCAGCTTCCACATTAAACAAGAAACTGTGCGAGCAGATATGGCGAAAAAATAGATGTCCGGATAATTTCGTTACACCCTGTATGTTCTAGTGCAAACTAATGCTATGATGCTAGGGGAGCGGCTGCAGGCTGGCGTAGCGCGTGCGGCCTTACGGTGGTTGGGTGAACGTGCCGCCTTCTGCTGTTGGGTGGGTGGGGTGGGGGAGGTCCTCCTTGACCCCGTGCCGGCCCCGCCACCTGTGCTGCGCCATCTTTGGGCTGGCGACGGTGTGGAAGCGCGTACCTTCCGTCAGTTTTCCAGGCATCTGAAGTCTGAACTCGGCGCTGGCCCTGTCGTCGATGTCTGCGCGTGAGCCGTGGCGGGTGCCACAGCCTGCTGGCACCGGCGGGTACGTGCCGTGTACATGTGGTGCGGACTGCGGGACCGACTTGAACCACTCGAAGCCAACGGAGACCAGCCACCCTCATTCGCTCAGATTTATGTGAACGACCCACGAGCCGAAATACTGATGCCGAGGACCACGCACGCATTGTGGCATCACATAGAGAACACCTATTACATCCGGGAACGACTCCGAACGGCCATTTTCGGGAAATTTACCGTCCGCGGTGAATATTCCTGCAGGAATATGCTCTGAACGTATCAACCGAATTTGATGTTAGTGCCGGACCCGTGGACTCAGAACTGCGTCACTAATGCCTGTTCATAAATGTAGCGCGGCGTGAGCCATCCATGGACTGCGTGTTTCTTTTTTCCAACCAAAGGTAGGCACTATACCTGAAGATGCTTCTTTGTAACCAAACCAAACAAAAACTAACAACCTAACCGAACCTAACTTGACCTAACCTACAGCCTACAAACCTACAACGCGCCAAAAAATTCAGCCGCCGGCGGGATTCGAACCTTCGGTCCTCTGAACAGGGGGCGAGTGCACTAACCAACCACTACACCTCGCAGACAGCTGGCCGGATAAAGGTGTTGTAAGTCACTTGACAATGACGCACTGGGATATACTCCGTATAGCGCCTTCCTTTGATTGGAAAAAAGAATTACGCCCGTGGACTAGCCTCTTCAACTCCGTAGCAGTGTCTCCCAATCTGCGGAAAGTTCAGCTGGTTGCATGATAACCGTGGCGAAGTTTTCTGGCTCTGTTTCAACGGCTCCTTCATATTCCCTTCATATCAGCATAAGCCAGATTTAGGCTAACTTGCAATTAAACGATCAAAAATGTTAGCTTAAGTTTCGTTAGGGTAAATTAAACGGTGTTTTATTTGGTTAGGCAAGCCCGAAAAACGGGTATGTATGTTTACGATTTTTTCATTTAGTTTACGTCATAATAACCGTTTTCACGACGGCCATTTGGTACACATTTGGTGCACATCTGGTACAAATCAGGTGCAGATTTGGTCAAATCAGGTTCAGTGTGTCTCTTAGCAGCTATCAGCTAGGGTTGCACTAATTGCTTATATGCCTGCTTTGTCATATTATCAGAGAGCATCATCGATTAAAACGCTGAAATGAATTCATAAAATGAAGATGTTTGCTGTAAAAGAAATTAGGTGCAGATTTGGTCGAATCAGGTGCATTCGCCGGATAGCCCGTCGTGAAAACGGCTATTATCGAGCATATATTTCTTCCGAGCATAAAAACTACAGCAGCCACATAATTATTATTTTTGTGCTTAAGTTCATGGCTCAGTGCTGTGAAAAAAATCATATTCAAGTGACTAGCATGCACGGCGCCTTATAGTGTCCTGCTGTGGCATGGCCAGGCTGAGCATGCTAGACTGCCATTCGGCAGGGGTAGTTACCGTAGTCGCATGAGATCAAGTCATGTTGGCCTTGCATGACCCCATCTTTTACGTTTGTGACATTTAGTTCCTGTCGGTGCTCGTCTTTTATTGTTTGTCCTATAGCGTTTGCACGCGTGATGTCTCGTAAAATTGCCTTGCATGTCAATAGAGTTGAAATTATTTTGATACCGTGATGTCATATTGGGTGAATTGCCACTATAGTGACTCCTGTTCGACTGAAGTAATTGTTTGAATGCGTAGGTAGGTAAAATAAAGTGCCGACATGGGAATTCCTGTGCTTGCTGTACTTGTGAGGCTCAACGGGTGCCACGGTTTCTTTCTTAGCAATAAAAATTTAACTTGATGAAATGCAGCATATATTTTATCAACAGTTTAAAAAAACGCATTGTTGTAATGCTGAAAAACGCTCACGGTCAAAAACGTAATGAGAAATTTTGTACCTTGCTTCACCTTTTACATTTATATGCATGTATTTTAGAAAGCAAACGAGCCAGAATGGTAGCAAAACTTTTAACTTATTTTGTAACCAACGCCAAAATGACAAGCATTATGCCAAGATGTTTCATTTACCAAGACCCGACCATTGGTTTACCGGACCTTCCACTCCCTACAGTTTAAACATCACCCTTCTTGAGGGCTACGCGTACGGTAAACGGCGGCCCGACGGCACTTACACGGGTATGGTGGGCGAACTCCAGGCTGGACGGGCTGACATGACCGTCAGTGAAGTGTCATTTACCAATGAGCGAGAACAGGTCATCGACTACACTCAAACCGTGTCCGTAATCAGGTGAGGTGTTGGAGAAATGAAGATCGTGTTTGTTATGACGTCATTGGTGAAATACTGAGTTTGTGGGCTAAAGAGTGAGGTTGTTGGCTAATTGCAGACTGTTTCGGTTTTAATAATATTTTGGATGAATACAATTACAGACAGTGTTTGTTATAAGATGAGTTTATCAACTAGGCCTAGGCGCAAGTCCTTTGCTAATAGCCGGGTCAGATGCATCATGCATCCGGCCATCAGCTTATTTGTTTGAAAAAGGTCAAGGTGTCGATGATAATGTTTTATCAGGGATTCAGTGTCTGGAAGAAATCAAGTGGTGTTTATTTTATTGAACATTTCGTGGCAAAACTTTGTAACTCATACCGAATCTTGAATATCACAACCTGACAGCACTACGCCCACATCTATCTCCCACTCCGTTTGTCTGTCTGTCTGTGCAGTCGGCGTGTGTACGTGCACATCCCGACTGTGCTGGACAGCTGGTTGGCCCGCTACTCGCGTGGCATCAGCGCCGGCATGGTCGCCCTCTCGCTGGCCGCTGTCGTCCTCCTGGCGCTCACACATCGGTTCTGCGAGAGGATCCTGGCGCGTGCTCAGGAGGACGGTCGTCGAGAGGTCTTGAAGGATACTGATGACGGCAGGATGTTCCTCGAGGTTGCAGAAGGAGAAGCGGGTCTGGCTGACACGCTCTGGATCATGCTAGGACTGATGCTGCAACAAGGCGCAGATGTATGTCACGAATTGTGGTGATGTTATCCGGAAAAAGGTGGTGGCATTGTTAGCTGTATTGTAGTTGATCATGATTTGTAGATCATAGCCGTAAAACCATTTATCAGAGCTTCGTCCTGATTTCTGGAAATCGAAACGTACAAAGTCGTAACGTACAAAAAATTAAACTATACCACAAATACTTTTTGACATCAATTAACTACAAATTGGATGTGGTACGAAACGAACAAACCATGGGGGATTGAATAATACAAAGTCATATCCTCCAAATTGAAAATTTGCCATTCTAAACCCAATTTGCGCCTACGATTACGCTCTTACACCCCCACAGGACTCTCCCAGCGGGCTATCATCGCGAGTGGCGTTCCTCAGCTGTCTTCTCCTCGGTCTCCTGCTAACCACTGCCTATTCAGCCACTCTCATCTCGTTCCTGAGCTCCTCGGGCAGCCCGCGGCCGCCGTTTGCCGACCTGCAGGGCCTCACCAAGATGCCCGACTGGAGCGCCGGCTGGAAGGAGGGCGAGCTGATTGAGAACGTGCTGGTCAGTGTGCTGCTGATGATGTTATCATGCTAAGCAAATGCATTTTTGGTGATATCCTCGGGCTCAGAGTGAAAGAACAATGCGTATAATAGCTTATTTGTGTGATAGCTACTTTTTTGAAATAAGTCATTGACACCTCCCGATTTAAACACTTTTCATTGTAGGTAGCAAGCAAATTGCCGATTTTTCCTTTCTTTGATCAGCTGGTTATCAAATTTATACATAGATTAGTTACGGCTCACTTCAGGCTGCGGCCAAAATTCAATGAAAGTGTAGCAACTGATCGGCGCCCATTACCAGAAAAAAACCGCTAACCTCGCAAAACAATGCTTCCATATTTACCTACAGGACTGGTGGGCCCTGGCGGACAAATCAATGCCTGAGTGTCATACACTGATCCCCCTATATCTCAACAGGATTGGTGTGCCCTGAGGGACAACCCCATGCCCGATTGTCACACACTGACAGCCGTCTGGAATGGTCACGTTCTGCCCGACAAGAGAAACAACCTGGTGCAGAGCTACGAGGAGGGATTCAAAAAGGTGACACGACATGCAAAGGGATGAGTGCTTACTGCTTACATGACGTAGGCTTAATGTTCGATATGCATATGGCTTAAGTTATGCTGGCCTCAAAAGGTCATGCGTCATCATCGAAAGGTCACGTAGAGCATGCATTTATATGTTGATATCATTAGGAGCGATGGAAGTCGATTATATCTTCTGAAGAGATGTTATTCAGCCCATGAAGTGTCGCCGACCGTTGACATTTTAATTAATCGGCTAAATGCCAAGTAAACACATTTTACTGTATGCCTGGCCTATGCAAACCGGAGAGGTGTGGTATAAACTGGTGTATGCAAAGTGACCACGGTCGAAAATGTTGCATAACCAGTTTGCACTTAAGTCAACATTTTTGGATGTAAAAAAAAAAACGTTGCATTCATGCCGGATTGCTAGTGTTCATTTTTTTATCCCATTCGAGCTTTGTTTTGACGTTCACGATCAATCACTAGCGAACCATTTTTTTTTTGTACGATCCAGCAAAACTTTTTAAAACGGTATATGAGTATGTATTACAACTGTTGCGCATTTGCGACAGGTGGCGCGCGGCAACTACGCTTTTATCGCTCCCAATGAGGCGGCCGACTATCAGCTATCCAAGATGGCGCCCGAGATAGCGTGTCGTGTCCACAAACTGGAGGTAGAATACGCCCCCGGCGGTATCGCGCTCGGCCTACAAAACAACTCTCCGTACAAGGAGCTCTTCGACCAGAGGTGAGATCAGCGAGAAGTGTCAGAGCAAACAAGAACTATCGCGCTTGGTAAACGGCAGACTACGATAGAGCAGAACGAGAGTTGCAGAACGTGGTAGTTGGATGACATGAACGTCTACGGAAAGGTGATACGGCTTCATGCTATATATCTTTTCATTTTTTCTGCATCTCCTTTCTGTTGAGATCACTGAGATGTAGGTATCTCATGAACGTAAAGGACGGCTCCGAGCAGACAAAATACTTGTCACGCTAAAAGCGTCAAGTGGCAGGTAAATAGCATACCGTAAACGCCGTAAACGATAAAATATCTTTGACCTCTCTCTCCCTCTCTCTCTCTCTCTCTCTCTCTCTCTCTCTCTCTCTCTCTCTCTCTCTCGGCAGTCTGCAGCGTCTGGACGAGGCAGGAGTCACGGAGAAGCTCTACCGCTCCATCCTTCGCCAGCGGGAGGTCTGCAGCCCCCAGCTGGCCTCAGCCGCCACCCTGCTCCAGACCCTGGGTGCCTTCCTGCTGCTGCTAGCAGGGATGGTGTCCAGCGGGCTGATGCTACTAGCAGAGCGACTGCACAGCCGGGCAAAACGACGGAGGGATGCTGATAGGTAGGTGGCGCTTGGTGCTGTATAATGGTGTGGCGCTATGGTTGCTGATTGCGGGCATAGGGAGAAGGTACGTCGAACGCTTGGCGGCGCTGTTGGTACCGCATGTCGAATATAAGGTTCGCTGTGGGCGATAAATTTGCAAATACGCTCACCGAAGCTGGGAGAATGGGAAACAATTTAAGGTTTTGGTTTTTGGTTCAAATGAGACTTAATTAACCCGCGCCCTGATGGGGTCTGCCGAGCAACGCGGTCTGATGGGGGGGGGGGCATTTTGGCCCCCCCCCCCTAAGATCTCGAGAACCACGCAACATAGCGACAAGCGGTAAACGGCGTTGGATAGCCCCAACGGGGAACTACCTTGTGACCCAATTTCATTGACCTCGGTCAAACCGATGACGTCAAAGGTCAGGTCAAAGGTCGAATTTTCACCGTTTACAGGCATTTCAAGAAATGCGTTGTAAAATCGAGTAAAATGCATTTTATTGAAAATCATCGATGGGGAAATGTTCTTCAAACACATATTTTGCTATTTGAGGTCACTGATACCAGGTCAGGTCACAGAGGTCAGGTCACTGGGGGGGTCACAATATGAAAGTGTCGTGCGATGCATGTTTTATGGTCCATTTTACATGACAAATGCGATTATGTGGGTCAGGCAGACTTTTGGGCCAGCTCAGGTCACGTTTTGGTCAAGGTCAGGTCAAGGTCAGGTCAAGGTCAGGTCAAATTAGGTCAAATTTCAAAGCTGATATTTTTGCATAAAATGGGTATCGATTCGATGCAGCTCGTCACGGGGAGTTCAATGGTGGTCTCCGTTTTCCGCTAGGAGGTCTAGAATTGCTAAAAATTGAGTTCAAAAATTTGACGTCATCAATTTTTAACAGTTTTTTCGCTATAACTTGGCCTAAAATAGAGGTATCGATCTACAATTTGGTATGTATATCGAAGAGCGCAGGGACTATCACATATATTCCGGTTTTTCCGAAATTCGAAAAAAAAATGGAAATTTTTTGAGTTTTTCTAAAAAATCATTTTTTTTTAATTTTTGGGGGTCCAAATCCCAAAATTTCGAAACTCCGAGATAGCAGTTTTGTAGCGCCGTCTTTTGTTTACACAACCACATAAAGAACTTTAAAATTGCTTGTTAACTGTAGAATTGGTGAGCGTTTCAAGATGTCATGTTTTTTGCTCATTTTTACTCAAACATGACCTCAGTTTGACCTCAATAACTCCTGACCTGAGGTGAGCTGTGACTTGATATTTTGTATGAAGGTGTCAAATTGATGCCCGGTAAGGTACCCAAAATTTGGCGGCGCTGCGCGCCGCCGTTTTCACGCTATTTAAGACAAACCACAGGGGGGCCAAAATGCCCCCCCCCCCATCAGGGCGCGGGATAGCCTCTCCCCAGACTACTTCATGATTTGCTGATCAAGTGGATTTCATTGTTTGGTTTACTTATTGTTTGGTTCACCCAAGTAGTAAGATGAATCATTTTCAACGCGAATTTCACCTACATGTTGACCTCCCGTAAGGCTGATGCTTGTAATTCTTCTTTCAGAAATCACAAGCTACAGATCGCAAACCCCAGCATCAGGCGCATACCACGGACAATTCATCTGCAAATCAAGACGTGGTATTGAAGAATAGCCGCTCTAGAAGCTAATGCACCGAACATTTCACTTACCATGTACGTACATCCATTCGACACAATATCACTATAAGTTTAATACCAGAGGTTATCATGAAGCTGAAATGCTAGTTTTGCGGCATTTCGGAATGGCACTCCGAGAAAAACGCAATAGTCATCAAGACAGTACATACAACGCGAACGGTGGCACATGCTTTTCATTGTGTGTTCGTTTGGAGATTAGTTATTTGAAGATGTGTGCAAAGTTACAAGTACCTAACTAGGTCCTCACGCATCCACCTGTAGCATGATGTAGTATAATGTTGTTCATCATCGAATAAAAAGAAAGTAACACATGACTTTGTAGTGCTATGATGACAAAAGCTCAATCCTTCACTGCAAGGCATACCTACGAAAATATTGACCATGCACAAGGCAGTGAACATTGTAGAGTTTATTTGTCCCGTTCTTCTGAATGGATGTTATTATCAGTTATCTGATGTAGTCAGTGGCGGCGGAATAGGGGGTGCAGGGGGTGCAGCTGCACCCCCATCGAAAAACATGGGGGTGCAAACATATCTTTTTGCACCCCCAAAATCCGTACAAGGGGCCCATCGCATCATCCAATAAATTTTCTCCTGAAAACCAGTGATCGGGAAACGAACACTGATGTGGAATCATCCGGGATGTCCAATTATGGTCAGGAACGCCCCATGCTAGTCTTTGGGGCCCCCACACCGGCTAGAAGTGTCCCGAGCCGCATTTAGTGCTCCATGCGGCATCTGAGGGCTGCCACGACGGCCTCAGAGGGCCCTTTTATGACGATCTCTGAGGGCTCCCACGACAACCTCTGTCCCCTGGGGCCCTACAACGGCCACTAAGGGCCCTCATGACGACCGCTGAGGATCCCACAGAGACTCCAGGGCCCCAAGGAGACTCCAGGGGCCACGCTGGCCTCTAAGGGCCCTTATGACGGCCTCTGAGGGCCCTTACGATGATCTCTGAGGGCTCCCACGACGACCTCTGTCCCCTGGGCCCTATAACGACCACTAAGGGCCCTCATGACGACCGCTGAGGGCCCCACAGGACTCCAGAGGCCCCGCTGGCCTCTGAGGGCCTCCACGACGGTCTCTGTGGGCCCATTTGGCTTCAGACGGCCCAGCGACGGCCTCTGAGGGCCCCAACACAACCAGGCTGCAGGGGCTATGATGGCATCTGAGGGCCCTGCAACGGTCTATTGAGGGCCCTAACGATGGCCTCTAGCGGTCTTAACAAGGCCTCTGAGAGCCCTGCAAAGGTATCTGAGGGCCCATGAAGACCCTCACTGTGGCCAAGGACCCTCATGACGACCTCTGATGATCCTCTCGAAGGCTTTTAAGGGCCCTCACAACAACTTCTGAGGACCCCAGGACGGTCCCTGAGGGGCTGAGGGCCCTGACGACGACCTCTCTGGGCCCTCCCTCACGATGGTCTCTAAGACCCAACGCAAGCTCCAAAGGCCCACGCTGGCGTCTGAGGGCCCCACGACGGCCTCTGAGGGCCTCGACGCAGGCAGGCTCCAGGGGCTATGCTGACCTCTGAGGGCCCTCTTGACGGCTTCTAGGGCCTAACGAAGGCTTCAAGGGCCAACGCTGGCCTCTGAAGAACCCTAGCCTCAGAGAGTCTCAACTCTCAACTCAACGCAGGCAGGTGCCAGGAGACATGCTGGCCTCTGAGGGCCCCGCAGAGTTCAGATTCAGAGGACCCAACGACCTTTGTGGACCTTACGAAATACGAAGGTCTCCGAGGGCTCACGCAGGCTCCTGGAATTCCGCACTGATTCTCAGGCCCCATGTCGGCTTGTTGAGGCACTTAATCTTCTCTTGGTGCCCCGTCGCCGGCCTCTGAGAGTCTCAATGTCGTAACTTATGGGGTCATGGGTCCTACACCGGCTTTTATGGCCCCTACATCGACTCTTGGGACTCATGACCATTGACCCATGAAATGTGGGTCTAAGCAGCTTCTAAGAATCCCCATGCTGGTTCTAGTAGCCGCCAGCCGAATATTTGGGCTCACTTGCGAGCTCCTGGGACCCCGTGCATACCTCAGGGGTCTACCTGCCTCTAAGACCCCACACATACTTTTGGGGCTCAAACGCTTGCCCCTGAAGGGACCCCTTTCTTCTATTCAGTCCTCCATACCGGCTCTTTAGGCTGAACATCGGCTCCTGTGGCCTCCATCCCGACTTTGGAGGGCCTCCATACAGGCTTTTTGGGGGTCAGATGCCGGTTTCTGAGAGCCCTCAAAAGACTTTCGAGCCTATACTGCCTTCTGAAACATTTAGCAACTTTCAAGGGACCGACACTGGGAGGGCTCATTCAGTCTGGGGAGTCATGTAGGTCTCTGGAGGAGTCCCTATGTGGTCGGTTTCCAAGGGGCTTCTAAACACGGTCTTCTTGGAACGGTCTCGTAGGGCCCTCAATGGTCCATTGCGGATCTAGAAAAATGGTTTGAGACGCTGCGGGTGGTGGCTAGACAGTGGCGCGGGAACTTCTTCCAGACTGGGGGGGGGGGGAGCTGAACCATAATAGAGATCAACCTAGGGTACCCCCAAATCTAGTTTTATCACCGGTTTTAGGCTACTTATTTTTCAGACTTTGGCCTTTTCAACAACAACAACAAAAACGAAAAAAATGCAAAAAAGTGAGGCATTCCGTCTCAGCTGAGTGAAGAAACTACCGTTTTGGTAACCTGGAGTAAAGGTTTTAATCTGCCAAATGAGTTGCCAAGCCAGTGAAAGAGGTGGATTTTTCACTTAAATGCTTTCTTCCTTTGTGACCCACAACCCCTAATTTGGGGAGGACAAGCTGCCCAACGGTTCCTGACCTCATGAAAAGTTGTGGGGCACCGCCCCCACGGCCGCAGAGTTATGGGGGCACGCTTCCCCCACTGCCCCTCCCCCGGTTCCCGCGCCTATGTATGAATCTATGAAATTATGTTGGTAGATTTCCGATTTCAATTCCTCCAGCTGGGGGTTGGGGCCGGGGGGCTCAAATACATGAAAAGCTGGGGGGCTCAGCCCCGCTAGCCCCCCCCCCCCGGTTCCCGCGCCACTGTGGCTAGACTAAAAGATTAGCCGATAAAAAACTAGCTGCATTTGCTTCTTTATGCTTTCATTATTTGAGATAGGTAGGTACACTGCAATTTCAAACATTTTACAAAACTTTTGTGTATGGGATAGTTTTCCAAAATCTTCGTGTTTCATAAATCAATAATAATCACTAAAAAAAAATGAAGGGGGCCCAAAACTTCCAGAGGGGCCCCTTGAGAAAACTTTGCACCCCCATCCAAAATTACCTTCCGCCGCCACTGGATGTAGTCATTTGTAATCATCTGTCATTTGTGTCGTACTGATTTAACTGAAAATTAAAGATAACGCAGGGGTATCTGTTCATACCAAAGCCAAAAGTATCTAAAATCGTATGCAACATTTATAAGTGATGCCTCGCTATAAGGCGGCACTCACCTCATGACAACATGCTCACAGATTTCGAAATAACCATGTTTTGCGCCTTGCGGCCTTCCGTCCTCAGAGGGGAAGATTATGATTTATTTCGTACATTGTCACTATGCTACACATTTTGCTTCTCGAGACGAACAACTGCGATGTGGTTCGTACATGTACGACGTTATTCGATATCCGATTACTCAGAGTTTCCTGGGTACAGAATTAATACATAATGTCTATCCGTCTCGGCGTTTGTTGGCACGAGTGGATGGTTGGCTGATCAATAACTAGCGAGTGGACCATGCCCTTATCAACTTGCCGAACCCACAGATGCGTCGTTGCCAGCCAGAGATCTGAAGGACACCCACCTCCCGTGAGATGAGATTGTGCTGACGCCGAGTGCCAAAACAGCTGATAAGGTCCCAAGTCCAGTAACGACCTGTATAAGAGCTGCGCAGCTGCGGTTGAGATATACCCTCTGAATGTTTCCTGAATCTACTGTCGTCTCTTTCACTACTGAATATTGGCACAGCTGAAGCGAGGTTATCAAGAAGGATGCAAATGCAAGAAATGTTACATTCGCGTAAAGCGTACCGTCATCGCTCATTAGAAAAATCATTGGTGTTTTAGTTTGTGCACATGAGGCATCTTTCGAACTGCAGCAGCCGTAATGCTATGGCATTGGAAACTTTCATGCGTAGATGTGACCGATTTTTTTCATATGATAGGTGAGACAGCTCAGAATAGTCAATCCCACCATGATTAGTATTAGTATGTGAATCATGTTGTGGTAGAAGTGTGAGGATCTCTAAATCATCTTCATTATAGGCAGCAATTAGGCACCTTTTGGTGTTAATCCTCATCATGTTAGATTAGAAAATGGAAATCGATTGATTCGATTGCGATTTATTGAATGATTAGTCACGTCTCAAATAAACAGTAGATTTTCGATGCATTGTGAAAATACTTAGGTAAAGGTAGTGTGCCACCTTCCAATGATTTCCCATTTTATTTTTCCTAGGATAAGAAGCTTCTGTTTTTACCTTATATCGCAAAAAAAAAATCAAAAATGGGCCTGGAATAGTGCTTTTTTCGCCTAAAAGTTTATCGGTTTTTCGATATGTATAACAACTGTAGTGGGCCGACTTGCAAACAGGCGTCGGCAACAATCGTGAATGCGGCGCACATGTGACAATAAGCAAAGGTCATTATAGTTACGACGTACGGGAATGAGTTATCAGCTGTCCAATCGTAGACAACACAATGTCGAACTTAAACTGTAAGCCTGTATTGGTATTGTTTCTTTAATTTGGCTGTCGAACATTAATTTATGGTTTGAAATATGATTTTTTTGTAAAATAATTGATATGAAACAGCCGTCTCTTAAGTTATGACCCCATCTCACCGCACGAAAGTGGCAGAAATGACAACGATCAGCTGACGCATTTTGCTTGGCCGAAGTCAGAGCGCGCGGCCCGACGCACCACCACCGCACCACAAAGTATGAGCAGAAGCCACCTAACAGGCGTGTTCGAAACCGCAGGAGATGATGATGAACGGGTTTATCGAAACTTGATTGGATGAGCCTATCGGTAATAGCGATTTTAGTGTGTGCATTTATTGTTCATAGTGGTGTGAAATGTGGTTGGGGTACGGCCGACAGCCCGTCGGGGCGAATTTCGCACTGGGGTACTCAAAATTTGAAGAATTTAAGACGTTTCCATGAGATTTGAAGGTATGGATAAGTTCTAAAAATCCGGTTCTCCTTATCCGGGTCATTAACTCCATATGGTCCAGGAAAGCTGGCACACTACCTTTAAAGTAAATCTCAAAATCCAATTTAAAAATCATGTATTAAAGTGCAGGTATATCACATTCCTAATAATACTGACAATTGAAAAAGGTCCTTTCACTAAAACAATTATTTATCCATGCACTTTAAAGGATGGAGGTGCTATTGCTGAGCATGTTTAGAAGTAAAGATATAAAAAAAACTTTTAAGTAGGTATAGCCTGATGTTCATAACATATTGTAGAGTTTAGATGAAATTGAGAATGATATTTCGAACACTGGGTCCTCACCAGATTCGAATCTGGTGAGGACCCAGTGTTCGAAATATCATTCTCAATTTCATTTAAACTTTACAATATGCTATGAGCATCAGGCTATGCATAAAACCTTTTCTTATATCTATACCATGCACTTTGAGCTCTGGCACCCTACACACTGGAGAAGGCTTTTCCATGCAGCAGGGTCTTCTCGTCATCATCAGGAGAGGAGCGGCTCAGCTGCTTTTCCAGCGCCTTCAGGACATCGGTGAACGTCAGGTTGCCCATGCTCTTGCCGAGACTGTGCATCAGGTACCTGGCGGAACGCAACAAACAGTCAGACGACAGTAAAGATCCCAATCGTTTGCCATTTTATGGGCAATATCAAATCGGTACTGAATTCATAATAGGCAGTACCAACCACGTTTTAATTGACACACGAGTATTGTAAAATGTCGTGCCACTTAACTTGACCTACCGGTTCCTAAAATGCTCTGACTGATAAAGATCGGTTTACTTTTTACAAAGTTATGCCTTTGGTTTGTTTTTTTTTCAAATTGATTCGGTTGGATGCATTTTGACAGGTTTCGGTAGGTATTTGGTTTCGTTTAGGCTTCAACTTTAAATTTTTCGACATTGATATCAATATTCACTAGCCGATATCGCCTCACCTCAGTGATACGAACGGCGGGAAACGCGAACAATCAGCGGTAACACAAAGTGACAGTGGAAAGATAGATACGGATAATAGCCGTTTTCACGACGGCCATCTGGTACACATTTGGTGAAGATTACCTAGGTGCAGATTTGGTGAGGATTTGGTGAAATTGGGTTCCGTGTATTTCTTAGTAGCTATCAGCTAGGTTTGTAATAATTACTTGTACATATGCGTGCCTTGTCATATTATCACACATAATCATGGATCAAAACACTGAGAAAATTCATTATTTGAAGATTGAAGATATTTGTCATAAAAGAGATTAGGTGCAGATTTGGTGAGAATTAGGTGCATCCGCCAGGTAGCCCGTCGTGAAAACGGCTATTACCGAGCCTAGGTTACCGAGGCTACCGAGCCTATAGGTACCAACTTGGTATTTGGCATTCAAATTCTGTTTTTTTTTATATAGATTTTGTTGGTTACGGAGCGAGCGAAGCGAGCGGAGTCTTTCCTTAGATTAACGGAAATTTCTGAGTATGAGCGGCCGGCCGGCCGGCCGGCCGGCCGTGTGGACGCTTTTGCGAGGCTTATATCTCAGCAACCACTTGACCGATTTACATGCGGTAATTTTTGTAGGGTGGCTTCATTCCTTCTACCAAGTATTGGACTATTCCCGATGCATGTGGGTGACCCCTTATGCACGTGCCACGTGCAAAACGAAGAGGTGTCAGTTTTGCAATTGTTGCAATATCTCGGTAACTACTTGGCCGATTGCGCTCAAAGTTGGCATGTAGGTAGGCACCCATAGGCACTGCATATCCATGTGCCAGAGTTGGGGTGCTGCTGCACGTGCGCACGTGCAGGGGTCGTTTCCAGATCTCGAGAACGGCTCGACCGATTGCGCTCAAATTTGGTACACAGTTTGGGACCGGTTAGTAGGGTGCCGTGCACAAGTCAGTTGGGACCCATTTTGCACGTGCGCACGTGCAGGGTGCCGCTTCCAGATCTCGAGAACGGCTGGGCCGATTGTGCCCAAATTTGGCACATCGCTAGAGACCGGTTAGTAGGGTGCCGTGCACAAGTCAGTTGGAGGTACCCCCTCGAAATTCCGCACGTGCAAGGCTCACCCTCTCGCTCGCTCCGTTAGTCGCCCCAAAATTGCGTTATACTGGTATTATGAGGCCTTTCTTATGTATGTAGGCCTTACATTTTATTACGCACGTAAAAGTTGTAGGTACTTTTAACAAATGAGCTAAATTTGTTTTCACTTTCCCATGGGTTTGACTTTTGGTTGGTATTTTGCAAGGCAATGTAAACCAGGATGTAAACCAAGTAGAACGCTCCCGACAAAAAAGTGGGGACAAAAATGAATTTAGCAACCGCGACTCTGGGGGCCGGACAAACTCAGGTTGCCATGGTAAGGGGCAAATTTGGCATGAGTAGGTACGCATCTAATAAGTCATTTTTCAACGAATTATTTCAGAAAAAAGCAAAAAGACTTGTTCGACAAGTACAAGAATGAATTGCAGTTTTCATAAGCGATCCGAGTCTTATCAGACTGGCCTAAATAATATCAAAATCAATTCCTAAACTGAACGGCCCGTGCTGCTAGAGATTACCTCTAACGTTCTGGCCCCCAAAATCGTCACTGGATTATCAGCCAATGAGCGTCAAGTATTGACTTACGCTAATTGGTGGGATTACTGCATTTGTTGTTTGGAATGCTCACGGTGCTGACAGCGCTAGCGCAAATGTCCCCACTTTTCGTAATGTTGAAAGGCCGGAGCGCACCTCCCCTGGTATTTTGCTTAATATCGGTTTCCCAGTTACCTTTAATTGACATCATTACCCTTGCCGCCATATTGGATTTCCCGTCGCCATATTGGACTTACCAGTCTCCGTACTGGAACCGGGGGATTAGCCGGTCGACGGTGTCGCGCGTGGTCTCCGTGTTCGGTCCGAGAACTCCGCCATGCTGACGCAGCAGACGCGCACGAGTTGACGACGAAAAGATGGTGAGAAGGCGGTACAACAGCGCCAGTCTGTGGGAATAAAGAACACGAAAGGTTAACATCGGGTCATGTCGCTGGTATGATAGACTATCATTTATTGTAGTTTTTGCTTATGGTAGTCTATCATCTATGGTATAAGTAATGTGAGAGGTGGTACTTGGGGTGGTCCTGATGGAATGGTGTCAGTCAAAATATAGCAGATCGGAAGGATTCTTAATTGAATTGCAAATGTTTGTAGTGTACAGAGATTGTGCTTGTATTTAAGAGAAAAGTAGATTTCAGTACAACTGCTCCCACAAACTCTACAAAATTTATGTTCCTTACTTCTCAGATCCGTTTCCCATTGTTACCCACAGTCTGGACAGTTATGCCTACAAACGTAATTGTGCACTGTAAATCATAATATGGTAAAACTCCGTATCCCCTGCGCAGGTGTTCGTAATAGAGAATACCAGCTTCGAGAACCGACCAACTATCTTATCGTTTTTGCGTGATAAACACGATACTGCCCCCTACTGTGTTAAACAAGATCAGGACACTACTGCGATTTACAGCTCCAAGACTGTAAAAAGGCATCAGCGAACTTATCTGTAAATAGTGATTTCAACCATAAACGTCGAAATCAAATGTGATCTAGCGATAAGTGTGCCAGGAGGTTCAGCCTCTGTTCTTCTGACACCGAACACATATGGAGGAATGAATACTGGTTTTCGTACTGCTGTGTAATGTGTAGTGTGTGCTGTACTCAGTATACTATTTCTGTACCCATGCTGTCATGTACGTAATGCGTATATACAGCCACGTATCCAGGATTTCGCTCAGGGAGGGGCGACAGCCGAGAAGGGCCCGGAGGTCAGCTCAAAGGGGCCCCACGGCGACTGCTTATCCTGGTATGAAAAAAAAATCTTGAAAGTCGAAAGAACGGTAATTTTACGATAAAATTCGGCATATTGTAATTGAAAATGCACTGTCTTGCGTTAGTCGACCTTGAGAAAATGTTTTCAGTTAATTTGAGTTGAAGAACGTTTTTGCAATTCACTTCCTTTGAAATTCGTTAAACCGTAACGTGCTGGGGGAGCCTTGTCACGCCCCCACCCCCACCCTCAGGTTTTTAGTGAATATTTAAGCGCCGCCATTTTTTCTACACCTGTTTATCCTTTTTCCGCACATGCTGTGAAAATTTCAGACCTACGTCGCTTAAGGTCAGGTCGTCAAGTGACCTTACCTCAGAAAAAGTTCAAAAGCTTGCTAAAGCTTCACCGACTGAACGATCACTTTGAAACTTTAACCCGCGCCCGGCTGGGGGTCCTGGATTTCCACGCCCTGCTGGGGGGGGGGGTGTCTGAACACCCCCCCTTCTAACTCGGCTCCTGGGCCACGTAGCGATACGCGGAAGGCGGCGTTCGAAAGAGCGCCAAAAATAATGACGAAATCACCTCGGTCAATTTTTTGGTCAGGTCAAAGGTCAGGTCACCAGAGGTCATTGAAGGCAAAATTTCGCCGATTTCCAGGTCGAATGTCGATAATTTCCAAGAAGCCAACGCATAACTCGGGAACCAATAGAGCTACAGCGCCACAGAAAAGCGCATTCGATAGCCCTATTAACGCCCTTTCTGAGTAACTTTCTCAGATTTGACCTAACGTTAACGGTTTTGCCTGCAGGGGGCAAAAACTGCAAAAATAGCCGATTTTTTCGAAAACAGTTTTTCTGCAATAACTTTTGACCCAAGCCTTGTGCGAGCTTACTTTTACCGGCATCGTGTTTCTCTCGTCAAGACGCATCGAATGAACTATAACTTGACCTTGAAAGGTCAACTTGAAAATTTGACCTCAGGTCAAGGTCATGACCTGACCGGAAAGGGTCATGTTGCATATCAGTCGATCCGTATCGTCAAGCTGAACACATCTAAGGCGTTTTCATCGCTCTAGCATGCCTCTATCAAAAGTTATTTGCGAAAAACTGTTAGATACCATTCGTGACCTAAGATGACCTCAGGGCATAAACAGGGGTCACAGACACCATTTTCATGTTCAGTAAGTCTAAACCACTTGTAATTCAGTGTTTGGGAGTGTTTATAATGTCTTTTGTCCAAAAGAAGCGCATTTCAATTTTCTCCCATTGACTTATAATGCACGGTTCGTCGGAAGGTCATCTCAGGCTCAAAAGAAACGGTTTATACCATTTGAAAGCTGACGGTGAGCTGAATCCAAAAATGTAATTTTTATCAAAATCGATCGATGGCCTTCTTTGAAAATTGCGTTTTTGTAAAAACATTATAATTGTTTATTCAACGGGCTGTCCCGGACATTCTTGAAAACATAAACATGTATTTTTGAGTTCCAGCGAAAGCTGAACGCCAAAAGAACAATATTTAGTGAAGCAATATTTCCAAACATTTATATGCGTCTCCCACAGCCGACAATAAGGCGCAATCACACAGCTCAGTGTCACGATGGACCAAAGCCAGCCACACAGAAGCGTGAAATGACCCTTATCGACTCGCCGACCCGGCGCTCTCGGCCCGCCTGACCAGCCACGGAAAGAACGTTCGACTCTCGTTCTACTAAACAAATGTCATATTTGTCAGTTTAGCTGTCTACATCGCTATTAAAGTTATTCAGGATACCTGTGAAGAAGATTCATTGCTCTGTCATCTTCACATCATGCATTAATTTGCATTTGTTCATGTCTACTTTGCTCAATTGAGCTTGGTATCATGCCCATATAAGGAAAATTGGCCGCGCTGAAATGTCAGAGGTTGCACCGGCCTCAGCTCGGGTGGAGTGGGGGTAGCGCCCGGCGGGGTAGGGTAACCTTTGACCGGTCGCACGGCCGAGCAGCCGTCACCAGTACAGCCTCTGACAGTGAAACCCCGCTCACTTCCCCTGCGCGGGCACTGAGCACAGCTGGATGAAACAAATATGCATAAGAAAAATGTAAATTAAAGTATGTTGTAAATCAAGCAGAGCAATGAATTTTCTTCACAGGTATCCGGAATAACTTTAATAGCGATGTAGACAGTTAAACTGACAAATATGACATTTGTTTAGTAGAACGAGAGCCGAACGTTCTTTCCGTGGCTGGTCAGGCGGGCCGAGAGCGCCGGGTCTGCGAGTCGATAAGGGCCATTTCACGCTTCTGTGTGGCTGACTTTGGTCCATCGTGACACTGAGCTGTGTGATTGCGCCTTATTGTCGGCTGTGGGAGACGCATATTAATGTTTGAAAATATTGCTTCGCTAAATATTGTTCTTTTGGCGTTCAGCTTTCACTGGAACTCAAAAATACATGTTTATGTTTTCAAGAATGTCCGGGACAGCCCGTTGAATAAAAAATTATTAAGTTTTTACAAAAACGCAATTTTCAAAAAAGGCCATCGATCGATTTTGATAAAAATTACATTTTTGGATTCAGCTCACCGTCAGCTTTCGAATGGTATATACCGTTTCTTTTGAGCCTAAGATGACCTTCCGACGAACCGTGAATGGGGAGGTCGCAAAATTGACCTGACCTTAGGTCATCGATATCAAAATTCTGAGATATACATTTTGTACATGCTATTGCTCTTAGCAATCGCTTAAAGTTTCAAAACGATCGGTCACTCGGTGTAGCTATGGCAGACATTGAAACTTTTTATGAGGTGAGGTCACTTCAAGTGACCTGGTGACCTGACCTTGAATGACCTTGGTCTGAAATTTTCACAACATATGTAGAATTGATGTATGATAAGGTGTACTAAAAACGGCGGCGCTCCGCGCCGCCGTTTTTGAGATATTCGCGAAAAACCACAAGGGGGGGTGTTCAAACACCCCCCCCCCAGCAGGGCGCGGGTTAATGGATTGATAAGAGTAACAGTATGTAAAAATTGTTTATCTCGATTTTTTTTATATTTGTGACCTAAGGTGGGGTCAGCTTTGCGACCTCTCCATTATAAATCAATGGGAGAAAATTGAAATGCGCCTCTTTTGGACGACTGTCGTTCTAGACCGTCAAAAACATGGGGGGTGGTTGCCACCCCCCCGCGCCATTTCGTTCCTGTTGGAGATAGAGCTTAGCGGTAACGATCAAAAAGATTCTTTGGGAAGAGACAAATCCAATGATACCCAGTTTTACCTTCTCAGGTCAGTCATTGACCTTCCAGGTCAGGTCAAACTAAAAAATGTTGCTGTTTTGGGTCACCGTTGGATATCAAGTGCGCTGCTTATCATATACCGATGACGATGCTGTTTTCTGGTGCCAAGCAAGCTAGAACCTCTTTGTCACACTACCCGACCAGATTTTTGCTGCTGAGGTCATTTCAGGTCAAGTTAGGTCAAGGTCAATTATATATGTTTGTATGTCTGTGTGTGTCTGTGTGCATACTGATGTGTGCACCGATTGTTTTTGTGTCCATATTACATGAAATCATGATCTGAGAAGCTTTTACCAAAATTGCAGTCAAAGAAATTCACAAAAAGTAAATTCAGCTTGCCTAAAACGCAATTATCTTAGATGACCTAGGTTGACCTTGACCCTGACCTTGACACCTGTACATCGTCGAACAACATGTTCCATGATAGGTGGGAGGTAAGACTGGCAAAAAAGGCCGAAATCAAGGTGTCAAAAGCTCACAAGGCCCATGGCAAACGCAAGATGTTGAGAATTGGCCATTTGGGTCATGACATGACCTGAAAAACAAGGTCATATCTCCGAAACCAAAAATCACAGAAACTTAAAATTTTCAGTGGACATCAAAAAAAGGATAGAGGAGCAGCTATACGAAAAATCAGCCTTCTAGCTCTAAAAATGTTGAGTGCAGAGCAGAAAGACTACCTGGGGGGGGGGGGGGGGGTGGCAACCCCCCCCCCATGTGCGGGCGAGGGTTAATAGAGACATGCCTAGAGCGATGAAAACACGTCAGATGTGTTCAGCTCAACGATACGGGTCGACTGATATGCAACATGACCCTTTCCGGTTCGGTCATGACCTTGACCTGAGATCAAATTTTCAAAATGACCTTTCAATGTCAACGTATAATTCATTCGACGCGT